GTGGATAGTGTGACGAGACAGCATTGTTTCATTTTTTGTTTTACAGCCAGAAGACGTAATACAAGAACCTATTGTCACTAGTACTTTCACGTCTTCTGCTTGAAAAAAAAAACACACACACACATACACACACACACACACACACACACACACACACACACACACACACACACACACACACACTCAACAATTTGTTCATCGGAATGCAGGATATCTTCAGCTTCCTGCAGCTGCACTGCCCGCTGTGGCTGCTGCTGTAGCCGGCCGCAGTGGTGGCTCCCTTATCAGTCTACGTTTCCAGAGAAAAGAGGCCTTGGGATCTCCCCTTTAACCGCTCTCCGCCTTCCTTCTTCTGCATGCTGCTGCCGCTGAAGCCAACAAGGCACGGAAGCAGTGGCTGCAGAGCTGCTGCTGCTGCTGCTGCAACTGCAGAGCCACACTTGCATCTAGGGCTCGTGTATTGGGGGTTTTGTGGGGTGTATCTACGCACCGCTTTCTTAGGAGCCTGTAGTGCTAGCCGCCGCTCCCACAGGCAAGGACGGACGGCGAAAAAAACTAAAGCCGTGGCGAAACAGCACCAATAGTGCCAGGAACAGGATCTCTAAGCAGCTAGATGTTCAGAGGGTATTGATTTCATGCAGCACACTGGATAGGCCCTTACTGCATACCAGGCAATTCCAGGCACCCCCCCACTCACTGTCAGTGCATCCAGGAACTCTCTTTCAGTAACTTGCTAGACCGTGGGAGAGCTTTCTACGGGTGCCATGGCGTGGCTAGCTGACTATCGGTTGTGACCTCCTGCAAAACAAATGCAGTCGACAAGCTACTCTATAGACTTTTGGATACGAAAGAAAGGCAGGTTGGGGGACCATTCCTTGGAGAAAGGGGCTTCGCAGCCGACTCGAGCATCTTGAAAAAATCAACATCGACCGGCCTAGGTCATGCCGCCTTTTGTGTGGCGCTACTCGTTTTCCTCCTCCGCCTGCCACCTTATCAATACATTGTGTTTGTGTGTTAGTGCGTAGATGTCGTTCTGTACATCGGTCTGGCACGCCTTTGAGTGTCAGTACCCTTAACTATGTGGTGACTGCCTGTCGTGTCCACTATCCTGTGCACTCTTATGGTCCCCCCACGCAGATTCTATGCGTCACGTTGCATGCGGGGAGGCGTGCCGTGCCTAAGCATCTGTAAGGGAAGTCAGGGGTTTGGCTTCGAAGCTGTCAAGCATGGGCAGCTTCAAAAGAACCAAGTAGAAAAGAGAAGGCCTTTGGGGGCATGTATGCCCAAACACAACACAAATCTCTACTACGCGCACAGAGGAGGCTGATAAGACTCCCGAATTGGAGCTAAACAGCATGCGGAAAAGCCTCCTTCGCGATCGCACGCAGCGAAATCTTCAGCGGCACTGCTGCTGCAGCAAGAGTATCGGAAAACATTTTGCTGCAAATCAAAAGGGCCCCGGCTGATATAAATCTGCCCCAATGAACCGAGTAGAAAGGACCGGTGTCTCCTGTGTCTTCCCCACAGCTACAAAGGCTGAACTCGACGCAGAAGCTGCAGTGTCTGCCTCCTGCCTCCCCCTAGCCTTGCCCGAGGCAGAGCTGTCAGGAGACAGGGGATGAGGAGCAGCAGCTTTGGAAGGTGCCCGCTCAACGGAACTCGCGGAGACACTTGTAGACGCATCGTTTGCAGCAGTGCCACTGCAATCCGATGCTCCTTCGGGTCTGTGCATCTGCAGGTTCCTGCTACTTCGAGGAGGATTTTCCTTCTCCCTTAAGCCGAGGGCCCTTTTGTCCATGCAGCAATTGTCTGTCAGGGATTCGGTGAGGACGCTCATGCTCCTGAAAAGGCACAAGGCTTGATACTGCAGGGAGGCGAATGCAGCGCGTGATGCATCGATGCAGCGACGAAACATAGACTTTTTGCTGCGGTTACTCCTGTTCCCACCCCTGCTGCCGGCCTTCTGCACCTGCTCTTCGCTGCTAGACTGAGGAAGCGGAAGAGAGGCCCCTGGTTCAGGTTGATCAGGAACAACGACGTGTAACTCCTCCTCTGGGAGCTTCCGATGATGCTGATGCTGCTGCTGCTCTCGGGCAGCTCGAGGAGTAGCAGGCAGCCCCCACATGGTCCCTGGTGGCTCTGCTGCGGTTGCCGCTGTAGGTTGCAATATGCGCGAGTCGAGGCGTGTATGTATATATGTGTATGTGTGCTTGCCTGTCCGCGTGTATAAATGTGTATGTGTGTGTGTGTGTGTGAGGGCGGTGGCACACCTCCGTTAGCGCTTCAACAGCAAGCGGTGCAAGCTATGGTGTTTGGGCTGTAACTACAGCACCGTGGAGGGTGTCGGGACTTTTACTATGACTCGAGAAAACATTGGAGCACTGTGAACTGGCAGGAATAGCCGAATTTGACTCTGATGCTTCTTTGGTGTTTCCTGTTGAGGCCATGAGTGCTGCTAAAGCTGTTCTTGCTCGCGCTTCTCCGGACAGTCGGCAACGATGATCAGAGGCACGCGTGTGGACTAGGGTCATGATACAGCTTAAGGTAAGCTTATTCGAAATAAAAAAGTAAACTCTCCATTTTTGAGCGACTCAAGCGGACACGCTGTTGCCGATGCTGACCAGGAAGCAGAGCCGTTTTATACGCAGCTACTGCCGAAGGAAACCACTGGGCTGGTCAATTCACCAGTGGCTGTACAGCTGCTGCTGCAGAATCCTAATCCGCTGCTTTCAAACAAGACTTTTATCACATGTATTTTCGTGTGACTCTATTACTGGCAACACGAGCAACAGTAGTGGTGGCAGCACTCCCTGCTGCAGACCTTTCGTGTGCCAGTCGATACACCGGGGCACCCAAGCCTCGTTCGGTGCAGCAACAGCAGGGCCTTTACTTCAGATGTGCATATCGAATCCATGAGATCTTATTGACTTTAGGTCTATGCAGCAACAGCAGAGCTTTTGATTCAGATGTCTACATGGAGTCTAGGAGCTTTCACTAGAGTATATGTCAAGCCCTCGTATGTTCTCGGATGAAGAGCCAGAAGCGGCTGCTGCCGCAGCCTCAGGCGCAGGGTTACCCGCCGATGTGACAGGCGGAGATCTGGCTCAAGCAGCATCACAGAAATACCATGATGGAGCATCAACGCGCATCCCAGAAGACTTGAAAGCAATAAGTGCGGGCAGTCCACCTGCGGCGGAGTTGCAGGAGTTTGTGCTGCTGCCCCTAACATCCCGCAGCGCTTCGTCTTCCTCTGTAACAGCTAGTGACTCGACGAAAGCCAGATCCTCAGCACGAACCCTTTCGGATGAAGAGAACTCCGGCTGGAGCTTCCCACGTGACACAGAAGCGTGTGCTGGACTCTTTCTTCGGGAAACCACGCTCTGTATGCAGAATCTTGTAGGCTCATGCTGCTTCAGAAAGCGTCAGGGGACAGTGCCCTGCATTGAGCGAGGGAAGGCGCACCATCAGTCGCAACAGTAACACTTACAGACAGCGTGAGAATCAACAGTAACGCAACGCCAATCCTTAGAATGTGCACCCTGCATACTGGTTCGGGGTTGCAAAACACAAGATGCCCAGCCAGCTGCTGCCCTATCTTTTTTGTTTGCCCAGCTACAGCTGTATCAGCAGGCCTTGCTGCTAGGGAGGTGGCTCAGAGCACCTCAAGAATTTGCTCGCAGGGGATGTGCTGTATTGCCAATCGCGATCAGCTATCGCCGCCGTCAGCTCCTTTCGAGAGCTAAGAAAACTGATGCACCTATGGATCGCTATCTACGGGCCAGCCTGCATGCCTTTTGGGGTGCTTATCTTTGCTGCAGCTCCCGTGGATAGCCGTGACTAACTACCCTAAAGGCTAAGCCACACGCTCTAGAGCAAGGTATCTGTAGCGGCACCAAGACTAGCAGCAGCTGTTGCTGCTGCTAACGTTGGTCATCCCGCCAAAGAACGGTCTGTCGCACGTTGTGAAGCTGAGCATGGCTCACCTCGAGCCTGTAGATGCTGCTGCAGTCAAAGCAGCACATTGGTGCCGCTGCTTCTCCGCGCAACGAAAAAGGCTCATAGCCCACAAATATTTCAGCAGAAGCCGCAGCTTCTGCTGGTACTGCTGTTTCAGGAGCAGCAGCACAAACAAAAAAAGGCCTATCTGGGTGCTGCATTGCAACAACTGCAGGAATCGCACCAGTTGTGGCTGCTGCATCAGCAAGAATAAGTAAGCATAGTTCTGCTGCTGCTGCATCTTGTGCAGCGTCGAACGGAGCTGCTGTAACATTAATAACCAATAAGATGTTGATGAGCCATAAAAATCAATGCGCTGCCGATGGCGCATATCTCGCTGCACCAAGGGTGTGTAAATGTTGGTTGGTGCTGCTAATGCTGCACGAAGTGGACCGAAGAAACAGTTGGTGCAGCTACACTACCGCGCCCACTTTAGAAGAGCTAGCTCGGCTGCAGTCGCTGCTGTGGCTGAAGCCGCTGCTGCTGTTGCAGCCGAGAAGACGAAATGCACAAGGGTGCTTGCTGCTGCGTGGTAACAGTACCCCAATGGGGTTGGCAGCACAAAACTCCAGCTGCCGAGGCTTCAGCACCAGCTGCCTGCATGAGCAGTCATGAGGAGCCTGCTCCCCAATAGGGGCCTTGACGAAATGCATCAAAGATGCAGCATTTTTGGAATGCCTTCCTGGACTAACTACACTGCACATGCTGGCGGAAATTCCTGCACTGGACGGCCGCTGCACTGAAGCAACTGATCGCCGCAGTTTTTCGTGGTGCACTGCAAGAGCCACAAAAAAGAGCAAACACAGCAAGACACGCACAGAGTGTCAGGAGAAATCAAAAAGCGCATGAGGCGACTAGGGGGAGGGAAGGAGGTAATTGCCTCCCTACCTCCACACATTTCTCAGCACATGTATTGAAGAAGCAGGCCCTGCGGCAGACAGTAGCCGCGCAATGAGCCGACTCTCCGAAGCAGGTGGCGCAGCTGCTGCTAAACTCCCGATCCATCTGCTGCTGCACCTGCTGTATCAAGCAGTTTGACGTTTTCTCCGTATCCCCTAGAGACCGCCTGCCGCAGTTATCCAGCAGCTGAAAGAACAAAGTTGAGGGATGCGGTCCGTTCCGCTTCCGTTGAGGAAATTCATTTCGGTTCTCAGAAGATGCCTCTGACTCAGCCGAGTCAGACACTTCAGCTGCTGCAGCTGCTGCGACTGCAGCGGCTGCTGCGGCTGCCGCAGCGGCGGCCGCTCCCGCGTATTGGGCTGCCTGAGCAGCCTCTCGAGCTGCTCTCCCCCCGAGGATCACTGTGGATTGCACCGAAGCTCGAAGGTTACCCGGTGTACTCCCCGCACCATCCGAATGACTTCTGGCTTCACCATCCTCGGAATCATCCGAGGACTCACTGTACACGATGGAAGCAGCGGCTGCTGTTGCTGCAGTTACGGCCTCATGGGCCCGTGCAGCGGAAGCTGCTGCCTCCGCTGCAAGATGGTGGATTGTCTCAAAGGCACCAGCTGTCCCTTTCACCATGCCATCCTCCTTTTGGGCAGCCTCATCGTGCTCGCTGTGCCTGACAATAGCCATGTCCTCAGCGGTACAGCCAGCTTGTGCTGATACTGCTGCTATAAAATCACAGAGCAGCGTCACCCACCCAAGGAGTAACAGAACAAGGAAGGACCTGTAGGGGTTGATGTGCATCTTTGCCTGTGTGTGTGTGTGGTTGTGTGGGTGCCTGAGTGCGTGTGTGAGTATATATGTGCATATGAACACGTGTCAGTTTGGGCCAATACTGTGCCAGTGAACCTTTCAGACCTTTGGGGAGGCACCTGCTGCTGCTGCTGCTGCCCATGCAATATGCAATGAAAGGAAGCCACGGAGTGACCCTAGAAAGCATACGTGGGTTGAGCTCTCTGCTTTTTTCCGGGAGACTGAGATTGATCAACACCTCACGAGCTGCCACTGTCGATTCTGCAGTGATTTGCTCATGAAAACGGAGGACGTTCAGAATATATAAGCAGCAGCAACTGACGACCCGCGGTTGCGCCTGCAGCTTCGGCAGCCGTAGCCGGTGCGTATACGAGTAGCAAAGCAAGGACTGGGATTGCACGTCTCCGCAAGGAAAAATAGGAAAAGTGACAAATCACGTACTTTACCAACTGGGAATAGTGAGAACTGCTCATGCGGCAGCGCCCACAAGGCTGCAGCACCCCTAGCGGCGGCAGGTCGCTATCGCTACTGATCCGGGGTGGTACACAGCGGGGTGGGAAGGCTCAATCCACCGTCCCTACGCCATGAGGAAAGTACTCATGGAGGTATTGCGGCATTCCGCAGGCATATATTTGTTGTTGAGAGGCTTTCTACCTCTGGTGTGGCACTGTGGATGGCCTCCCTGGGCTGCATAGCAACGTCGGAACCACCTTCCTCCATAGATGCGGCACATGGTGGCGCCTTGAGAGGACAGCCGCAGCAGCCGCCTCGATGGCTACAACGGCACCAGAAATAAGAGAAATAATAAGAGCAGTAACAGCATCAGACATTGCAACAACGGCAGGAATAGGAGCATCCGTGACAGCAGCAGTACACCGGAACTTGAACTGGGGATGAAAAGGACCCGTTATCGGCTGCCGCTGAATGCAGCGGCAGCCGGATCAGTGCTGTTATATTTAGCTGTAGCTGCCGTAGTAGGCTGCCAAGCTACTGGACCGGCAATACAGGACACTACAGCAGCAGTGGAAGCATCGGGAAAAGCTGCCGCAGCAGAAGAATCTGCTGCAGAGCTGGCGCTGAGTATTCCAGACACAGTGTATGCCCGCCCCTTGCGGCGTCTGGCCTTCGGATCTTGTTTTCAGCAGCCTCAAAGATGGGAAACGGCACCAGGCACAGAAGCAGAAGGCGCAGCAACAGCGGCTGCGAATCAGCGGCGAGAGAGTGTCTTTGCTGCCATTCGATCTCTGAAGCCTGACGGGTGGCTTTGGATAGGTGACGCTGGTTACTCAGGTAAAAAATGACGCTTTTGCCTCGTGCTTGTTTGGTTTCTGCCGCTTCTGCTGCTGCTGCTGCTGTGTCTTCTCATGCAATTCTTGTTGTTGCAGAGGTGGCTGCTGACATGGCAGGTAGCGATTTAGCCATGGGACGCGACGCTCATTCATGGGGCCGGTGATCCTTGTGCTCGAGTTGATTGTATTTCCTGTTTCGTGTTTCGGCGCAGAGGGAGAAGACGTAGCATCGGTGCAGGAGGCCCTAAGAGCGCTGAAGGAACTTAAGGGGTGGCAGGCGCTTAGAGAAGAGCTTGGCTTTGTGGACGGAACGTGGGATGATCATGACTTTGGTATTCCTTTTCTCTCGAGCCAGACCTAAAGCGTACATATATATATATGTATATGCATATATGCATCATCATGCCCCCAGTTGAATCTTCTAGCCGCCAGGGGTTTTTGCAAACACCTTTGCGCCTAGGGAGGGTCCTTCCAGTCGTAGTTCACTCGCAGTTTGCACCCTACAGCGCCGCTGAACGATTTTTCAACAATTTCGTGCAGGGATGAATGACGGGGGAAGCAACCAAGAAAACATCGACGCGCTCCAGGAGGCCTTTCTGAATTTCCTGGGGGTCGCTTCCTTCAGTCCACGGAGACAGCGGAAGGGTCTCTACTCTGCGCATCTTTTCCCCCTTCCACAACAAGCTCAGGAGGGGAAGCCAGAAGAAGGTGTGCGCGTGCTGATTTTGGACAGTAGGAGTCACAGAGACCTTCATTTCATTCCCAGTGCGGCGATGCTGACGCTGAAGCCACCCCTCTCGCGCCTCTGTTCTCACATAGGCGCTGGCAGCAGGCTTATCGTCCACCTTCTGGGGTACTGTTCACCGTGAACTTTATGAACACCCTCGACTCTTGAAGCAGATCCCTTCAAGTGGCCAGGCCAGAAAGAAGAAAAAGGCACATAAGGGGCTTAACGCGAAGATTTCTTGCGCTTTCCCAAGGCTGCATCGCAGCACCTGCTGACGCCAGATTCCTTGCGGCAGATTCGCAACTTGGGGGTCAAGCTAGCACGGCGTCTGTCTCTTCGGTACTAGAATTTATTTTCGTGGGTGGTGCTTGCGCTCAGACTCGGGCATGCATACAGAGGCGACATCTTGGGCGAGGATCAGTGGACGTGGCTGCGCGCCCAACTGAAGCACTCCAAGGCGCGCGTTCACATCCTGGTGTCTTCCATTCAGGTGAGCTTGGAACCTCCAACGTGAGTCTGCATGCCTTAGGAGGCACTATGGGGTGCTACACGAAAAAGCCGGTATTTTTCGCACCCAAGTTTTCCCTTGCACGCGCGCGCGCTGTATGTGGCTGACACGCTGTTGCAGATTTTGACAGGACTGCCGCTGTTGGAAAGTTGGGGTCACTTCCCAGCAGCGCGAGACAGGCTGCTGCGCCTTCTACAGGAGACAAAGCCTCGAGGCCTACTGCTGCTTTCAGGGGATGTTCACTTTACGGAGCTGCTCGGCACCCAGGCATGCATGCACCGAGCACACACACAGCCCCTAACAGCGCGAAGGCCGCTCTGAGAAAACACGCCCTTGTCTTGCGCATGCAAACGATGCGAAGGCGTAGCCTGATGGGGTCCTGTGTCTGTGTGGTACACCATTGCATCCTAGATGACACATGCCTAGAGGGGCCGCTAGCAGCACTCGATGTGTTTTTAATCGTGAATCTGCTTCCGCGCGTTGAGGCTGCCGCCTCGGAATTTCCGCCCAGAAGAGATAGTTTACTGTCCTCGCGCTGCTGTTGCTTGTGCTGTTGCTTGTGCCGTTGTTGCCACAGGGGGGCGTGGTAGAATTAACGAGCAGCGGGATGACGCACAGTGTAGGCGAGTCGCTCCTGACATTCTCTGTGCTCACACCGATGCTGAAGTGGCTGTACCCGACACGGCTGAGGTCTGACGCCTTCTCCCTAAAGAGGAACTTTGGAGTTGTCGACATCAGTTACCCAGAGACACAAGGTGCGATGCATGCGCTCCTTCTGCGTAAGAGGCATGCCTGTTGCTGCTGCGTTGTTGTTTCAAAAATGCACGTGCTAAGTCTCCCTCCTTTTTGGCGTGCCCGCTGCCTCGACTGCAAGCGGAACCACCGCGACGTTTATGTCTTGTTGCAAACAGATTTCCCCATCAAGGTTACTGCATCTTCGAGGGATGCTGATACGGGGGAAACGCTGCTGGAGGAGGTGCTGGAATTTCCGCAGACGGAAAGCCCTGAGAAGTGGCACCTCCTCACTGACAGCGTTCCTACCGTTGTAGGACCACCTAATCTTCTGCAGCGGCTGCTGCAGCTATTCGTCTTTTTGGTGCTTCTTGTGCTGTTGCTTTCACCGTTGCTGCTCTTTCCCAAGGTGAGAAAGGCACTGCACACCCTCTGCCCTCCGCGCGCCAAGGAACGACAGGCTTACCAGCCTCTTGTGTCGGAACAGGCCCAACACAGCCCGCCGACGAGCGGCAAGAGCAAGAGGCGAAGCACTGGCAATCGCAGAACGGGCAGATCTCCCGTTGAGCTGGTCTCCTTTTGAGAAAAAGAGTCAGTCTCAGGGAGGAAATGAAGGGAAGGGGTATCTGCTCGGCTTGCAGGGAGCAAAAGCCGCTGCAAGCAGCCACGTTCAGCTGCAGCAGCAGCGACCCCCCTGGCCTGCTCAGTGTGACTCCGTGCATACGTAACGTCCACTGCACGCAGCGGCTGCTGGCTAGAGTGTGCTGCTGTAGCTTCTAACGATGCTGTTGTCATTGCAGTTGTTCTTAATACACCTTCGGAAGCTGTAGCCTTCCCTCCAGGTCGAACCCACAGCTTCTTGAGGAGTCTAGCTCAAGGGGCGCTCCTAATGCACACCAAGGGCCAGAGAGGCCATCAAGGAAAAATGCGGAGATAAATCCGCGAATTCGAATAAGAAGCAAGCTTCCATGAACATGGCAGTCGACCCCCCATGCGCTACAGGCGCTTCGCTCGGTTCGTTCCTGTCACTGCAGTTGCACTCCCTCCTGGCCGCTTCGTGTGTTACTGCAGCTGGTCACGCCGCAGATGCAGGTGCGAGCGACTGCTGGATCAAATGCTTTTTCAATGGGAGCAAAACTGCTCCGAGTGCACTGGTTAAAAGTGTTGTGCATGCTGCTCTACCTGTCGCAGCTCTCGGCTACGCTGCTGCCTCAGAAGTTTAATCTAAAAACCAGAGTCTTGAGGGGGTTGTTCGCTTGTGCGTCAACTCCGCGAAGTCCCCTTAGTCTTAGGGTGCTGCGCGGGCACGAGGTGCCTGCAGCAACGTCGGTGCTCGTTGCCGTCTCCCTTCGCTCTGTCGCTTGTGTCTCTGCCTCCCGCTGGAAAGACGAGAGAAGCGTTTGGGTGCTGCGGCACTCGCAGTCGCAGAGTCTCGCCTGCTGCAGTGCCTGCCTCCGGAGTTCCCACTCATCACAGCATTTGCTGCTGAACGGCTCTGCCGTCAATTGTAGCAGATCGTCGGTGCTCGTGGGGGCGTCCGCGCTTTTCCCTGCGCTAAGTCGCACCCACAGCTCAGGCCGGAAATCCCAGTCTGCCTGCTGCTCTCCTTGCGCCTCTTGAAGCTGCAGCGCTTGAGCCTGCAACTGCCGTAACTCTTGGTGGTATGCCCACACAAGGAAAGCCCTGAGATCCAGCCTGCGGGGGCAGAAGGTGTGCACCCCACAACAGCAGAAGTTAAAGGGCAGCCACGCGCGCACACTGCGGCAGCAATGCTAGCACAGAGCAGCGTGCTTTTTCTGCGGCAGCAGGAGCCTAAGCTGTGCAAGTAGCAAGAGCAGCTTCAAGGTACTCTGGAAATCTCTTCTCTAAGCCCAAAGCGAAAATAAGGGCCGGAGTGTGCCGCACTGCCCCAGACAGCTGCTGCTGTAGAAGGGCTGCTGGCTTCAGCTGCGGCTGCTGCTCCTGAAGCAGCTGCTGCTTCTGCAGAAACTCCCTGAGGCAGCGACGGCTGCTGAAGAGGAAAATTTCTTCTCCCACCTCGATGCCACCTGCGATAGCGCCAGCAGGCCTAGCAGCAAAAGAGTTACAGTAGCACTGCAGTGGGGGCTTGTGGACCCCTCCCCAAAGCACGAGTGGACACAAACAGCAAGTGCCAAGACACGTATAAATAGTGGTGCAGCAGCAGAACGCAAAGCACTCGCAGCCTGATGGCTTTCCTTCCATCTCCTCACTGCCAGTGCCAGCACCAACACAAAGCGCAACACTGAGGTGTACCCGCTTGCGTATCTCCCTGCACCAAGGCTTTGTTTTCGAGCAAGGTCTGTAGGCAGTAGCCTCCCAACTCGGCAGGTTTCTGAAGATTCGTTTCTCCTGCAGCAAGTACTCGGAAGCCTCTGATGGCGCTTCGCATATCGCCATCGTTACTGCTGCTGCTGGAAGCTGGCCGCAGCAGAAGGCGTTTTTGCTGCTCATGCTCTACCCGCCGTCGCATTCGAAGAGCAGCACAGCTTAATTGCGCCGTGTCTGGCAAGCGAAGAGCTTCAGCGTGCTGCAGCTGCAGCAACCGGAGCTGAGCGAGATGCAACAGCATTTGATTCTCCTTGTACACTGCGAGATACGCCTCACCAGCTGCAGCCAGGTTACCGTACACCTCGTCGGGGTGTGCCTGCCCTTTGTGCTGCTGCAGGTATCTCTCCACACCTGCGAGTTCCTCCTCGCATTTCTCTGCTGCTGCTGCTGCTGCTGCATGGTGCTGCTGCTGCTGCACCAGCAGCGCCTGCACGAAGCGGATCTGCTGAACTTCAAAAACACTTTGGCCTGCTAATATTCTTGAAAGTTCGCCGTCCACACCTGCAGCCAGCACCAATAGGGTGCACAACAAGAGCAGCAGTAAAAGTATCTGCAGCTACTGTCACTACTGCGGCTCCACAAAACTAATGACTGCCGCACAGGATTGGATTCTACAGCCCTTTGCCGCACACGTTAGCAGCTAGGCCTCTCCTCGCAGAGCTGCAGGCAAACATGTACCGATGGATTCTCTCTGCTCCTTGGTTATACTGAAGATATGCTTTATCCTCTGAAGTGCATCTTGGCCTTGTACCGCTTGATTTAAGAGCAGCTCTTGTTGTTCTGCCGCGAGGCTCGTGGCAAGGAGCATAGGCGGCACAAGCCAGCTGAAACGCTCCTCTGTTGCCGTGTTTCTCGTTGCTGCCGCACGTCGTTGCTGAAGCAGCAGTGACGCGAGGACTATACACCGGAGCTCAGAAAGATGCTTTCTTCGCTCGATTTTGGTGAGCGAATACAAGCAGGGAATGCGCGTTATGGGGAGCACCCCGTCAAATGCATCCTCGAACAAGTCTCGGATAACCGTTGCTTTCGCTGCCGCTACTGCCGCGGCAGAAGCAGCAGACTCCGCTGGAGCACTTCTTGCCGCTGTTGCTGCCGCCTCCTCAGGATCGGCAGCACTATCGACCATTGGCAGAGCAGCAAGGCAGTACGCTATAAGCCGCTCACGCAGGAGACAAACGAACTTGGGGCGCCTCAGTTGACTGTGGTCTGCATGCACCACCTGCAGCAGCGGCAGCGGTAGCAGTAGCAGCAGAGAAGTGCGGCAAGGGCCGTCATTTTGAACCTTTCACTTAGAAGGCAACAGCAAAACCTATTTCCTCACGAAGTAACACGCAGTTCCTACCAAGGCAGCTGCCTCCTCCACCTTCTTCGTGAGCCTGGTTTGGAGCAACGCTGCGTCAGCTGCACTGTCCAGGAGCGCAGCCTCAAATGTGACTTGCAAAGCGAGGGCAGCGGCAGCAGGATCTACTGTGCGCTGCTGCAACGTCAGCACAGCATCCGAAACTGCCGTCTCCGCTTCTTGCTGCGAGGGCACTGGCGAAGACAGGGAGAACCGAAAAGGGGGCACATCACACGTCGAGGCTTCAATTGATTCTTGAGGGGCCGCTGCACATGCTGATGTTGCTTTACTGGCTGAGCCAGATGCTGTGGCCTGTGAAGGGGGCAGTGTGAGCAGTACATAGGCAGCATGCGCGAAAGAGACAGCGCATCCAAATTCCCTGGCACGAGCGACTACTTTCGCAGCGAGCTGGAAAAGACTCTCCGAAAACGCCCCGTCCATTCTCACACGTAGGCCTTTACGCAACCGTGAATGCGCAGTAGTCGATTTCGCCGCTTTCGCGCCTCTTCTGAAGGCCCTCCGGTCTGGTGAATTTCTATGTGCCCTTTGCCTTCTACTTTATTTCTTTTTTCATGTCTTCTGCAGTCCTTCTTCGCATGGGCTGCTGCCCCTCCAAACGTTTATGGCTAACTGGGCCTACCGAAAATGGCGCATCAGGCTCAAAGCCTTCGTACCTGGCTTTATCCGTTGCAGCAGCAGCTCCTGCAAATGCAGCTATTGTAGGCGCAGCGATTGCATATGCAGCGGCGGCAGAACTAGCGGGGCAGAAGCCAGTTTTAGAGCCTCTACAGCGTCAGGGCAAGGATGCTAGCCTCCTAAGATTAATCGCTTTACAAGGCATGCAGCTAGGCCCCTCTACATCCTGTTAGCTCCTAATGTGCGCGAGCGCAGAGAGCGGCAGCCACAGAGCAGTTGCCACACACTGAGTGGTTGAAACTCGTTTGAAGAGCGTTTCATACGTTCTTCTTGAGCAGTAGCAAGAGCAACCAGGGTATTAGCTAATTGTCCCAGCCAGTAGCAATATCTGCAGCTAAGTATCGGCAATTGCAGTCGCGGGTGCCGCTACTATTGCATGCAAGGTATGAGTGTAGCACCGCAGGAAATGGTAGGACACAGCTTTCTACATGTAAGCAAGACAAATAAGACACATTTTGCGATCCCATTAAGGTGAGAGTCCCTTGGGGCCCCCAGCCGGGGGGGCCCCTCGAATCCCTCCAGCAGCGGGTACCGCTGCTGTCGGCTGCTGCTGCTGTGTCGTTCCCACGTGTTGGCTGGGGAGTATGTCTGTGTTCGTTTAGGTGTTGATGGAGAGCATTCGTGAAATAGAAAACGCTCTAGAACGTTCTACGAATCAGTTTGTTGCAGCAGAAGCAACAGCCAAAGCAGCAGCAATAATTGTGGCTGGGTTGGGGTGTACACGCAGACACCCTGAGTGCTCAGCGGAAGGAAAGGAAGCGCGATTAAACACACTATTTCTATTTTTCCTTTCTCCGTTCCTGAAATATGTTTTCAATAGACAGACTGGCGAGTGCTGGCGCCGCGCAGGCAGGAGCGCCTGCTGCAGCAGGAGCAGCATCAGCGATGGTGGGTTCTCCGGGAAAGCCTGCAGATACAAGAAACCCGATAACCACGACCTCGTCCGTCCTTGCAGTAACCTATAGAGACGGCGTGCTCATGGTGGCAGATACGACGGGTGAGTTCTAGCCGCTGGCGCTCAGAGCCTAGGGTCAGAAAGTCGATGGATTTCACAGAACAGGCATCAACGGTTTCGAGTGGAGAGGCTGAGTCTGTATCCTTGGCTGCGAGTGCATTCATAAGGACTTCCCTTTTGCGTGCTTGTGGTGACTGAGAGAGTGGGCTGTTGAGAAAACAACGGCGTGTGCCCCTCCCTCCCCCCCCGTCCCCCCACTCGCAGTTCCCAGATTTTTCTTCATTATGCTTCCTGGCCTCGACGTCGTTGCCTGGGGTTTCGCATGTGTGTTAATCAAGAGTGTGTGCTTTTTATGAACTCCAGTGTCTTACGGACGGATGGTTCGTTTCCGGGGGCAGCCGCGATTCATCGCTCTCAACAACAAGACCCTCATATGCACGTCGGGGGAGTACTCCGACCACCAGTTTCTGGAAAGGGAGTTGAATGCTCTTGTGGAAGAGGACGCAGCGCATGCTGAGGGGTCTATCGGAGGGATAACAGGCGGAAACAACAGCGGCAGCACGGCCCTCACCCCCCTGGCCATAGCCAGTTTCACAGCGAGAACCCTCTACAACAAGAGATGCCGTTTTAATCCGTATTGGCTCTCCGTCGTTGTCGCTGGCCACATGGGCTGCCCCAAGGGCATCCATGAGCGACAGGCTGAACAGATCCCGCAGAAGGAAACGTACTTGGGAACGATGGATCTTCTGGGAACTTTCTTCCAAGAAGAAGTTGTTGCCACAGGTGCTTTGGAGTGCCTTCAGTGTGTTGCTCTTTATATGCATGGAAAGCGCCCGGGGAGGGAGGCTCGCTGTCGACTTACAGAGATTTTTCGTGTCACGGCTGCTTTGGCTCCATATTGGTGCTGTTGATTTGGGTGGGGTCGTGAGCCTCAGGTGTCAGGGTTTGAAGTGTTTTTTCGCCTGCTCCGTTGGTGTTGCCGCTTCTGCAGGTCTTGGTCGCTACTTTGCAATTACACTCATGCGGGAAAAGCATCGTTCCGACATGTCTGAGGAGTGCGTGGCTGCGTCAGCGTTGGAGGCTCTCGTTTTTTTAGGGTGTCTCGTGTGGCTGTGCTGGCGAGACCATCGCCGCTGCATGCGCCAGTGTATCGCAGGCAGCGTGGCAGTTGTGAGCGACGTCGCTACTCTGGTGTCGCTACTGTTGTTCGTGTGAGTGTGGGCGCAGGGAGGCGCGCAAGTTGCTCGAGGAGTGCATGCGCATCTTGTTTTACCGGGACTGTGCTGCCTCTAACGAGGTATGTGGGGCCCCACAAAATCATCACTGGTCTAGTAATTGCTGCAATGGGTGGCGTGGCGCGTTGATTGCTCCTGCCTTACACGGCTCTCTTGCCGCCGTCACTTCACTGCCGCTCCGTGTTGGTGCAGGTGCAGTTTGCCAAAGTGACAGCGCAGGGTGTTACTATCGACGCGCCTAAGAAATTGGACTCGAACTGGTGCGTTTCCCTGCCAGCGATGGGCGCTCGCTTGAGAGCCACAAGTGCTTAAGTAGTGCCACCTAGCTCCAGTGTGTGTGCATGAATGATGCATGCATTTTAATGGATGCACGCTTGTCGCTGGGCTCCGATGCACAGGCACTTCGAGGCTTACACGAAGAAGACAACCGACATGGACCTTGCAGGGTGCTCCTGGTAGGCAGCCGCCCTTATCCTTTGATTGCAGCGCGAGGCAACGCCGATTATGCAATAGCGCGATAATAGCCAAGGCGTTGGCTGCGGCTGCACTGGCTAGCGCGGTAGATGCGACACACCCGCGTAGCTGCTGTACGTCTCTTCCGTTAAAGTTAACGCCTGAACTCTGGGGAGACTGGAAAAGCTGGATTAGGCAGTCTGTGGTTAAGACCCCTGAACTGGTGGAGTATTGCGGCGTCTTGGGGGGAGGGCAGTAGCAGTGACAGTGAAGCAACGGTGGGAACGCCTGATGAGAGCGCTAGGCTGAGTCCGTTTTAAACTCTGGACGAGACTAGCTGTAAAGTTAGGTGTTCAGTGCACTGCAAAGCTGCAAAAGAACCAACGCTGCTCAGCGTCGAGCATGCAAATTTGACCCCTTCCCAAAGATGGGGCTTTACAGACTGTCTGCCTGTGAAGGGGCCCCTTCCTGCTAGCGCCTCTAGCTAGCCAGCACCCATGGTGGTAGCTAATGTGCCTGACCATGTGAAGCGCCTAGCTAGAGGCTTGTGGCTAGCAATCCGCAGATCGCTGCGGCTTCCACGGCGGAGGCTCAAAGCTTCAAACAAGCCGCAGATATTTCAAGTCGGAGGTGCTCTCGCCTGCTGGCAAGCGGCAGGCTGGCTACTGTCACACTAGCTGCTGCTGCTATCTTGCCAGCTCGCTCGCTTCCAAAGTAGCTCGACAGATAGCAGCCTCGAGCTTAGCTGCGATGGGGAGTCCGCCGAGAGGGTACAGGAAAATCCACAACGGCTCCTACGCAGCAGCAGCAGCACGTACACCCGAGAGCCAGGCTGTTATCCGGCAGCAGCCACGAGAGCGCAGAGTTGCAGGAACTGAACTCTGTGACGTGGAGTCTACGCCTACCTGCAATGGTGGCTCCAACGTTCGGCTTCGGATATTTGAAGCTCTTCGTCTCAGCAAACACCTTGAAACTGCACGCACAGCGTGGTGGCGATGGAAAAAGGTTTGCAGACACTGCAGCAGCGCCTTTGCTGAGACTAGTTTAGTCAGTAGCTGCCGTGTGCAGCTCCTAGGCGGCAAATGCAGTGCATCAGGAAAACCGAGATTCGGCATGAGCCGCATTGTTTTCTGCATCATGAACTGCCTAGTGCTCAACGCAGGCAGGCCTCGTCTGTGTTTCTTGGGGAGCTCATGAAGAGGTTCTCCTCGCCGTCGCCTCTAGGGCAATCTCAGCAGCAAAACATGGCAGCAAGCGGGAACTGGACGCACAATTCAAGAAGCTTTAAAGCTCTGAGAGAGTCAGAAGGCCTCCACGTCTTGTTTTCCCTCAGGCATCGCTCGTGCTGCTCTCCAGAAACTTTGCAACGCCGATCTGACGAAGACGGAAATCGGCGCAGGCACTGCATGTGGGTGCTCCTGCAGGGACGCAATGAAGGACAGCCGAACAGCACTCTCTAGAAAACGAAAGGGCAGTACAAAAATGCAGAATCTTCGATTCCTGCCGGCTGTCACTACGGGGGAAGAGATACGGGGCAGGGAAACACCACAGCAACCGCTACCGACCAGGTGTCCATACAGGGGTGCAGCTTGTGGCTGCTTCCGCTTTCGGGTGTATGCATGCGCCTCAGCACGTCTGCAGCCTCCCAATGTTGAATCTGCGCTCCATAAGGAAGCAGCGACAGGGAGGGCCGCAGCGCTGCACAGGAAGCCCTCTTGCTGCAGCCATTCATCCTGATTTCCGCGGTTTACCCAGTCCGCCTTTTGTGATATTTCTTGCCGAGGGGAAGGGCGCAGCAGCAGGCGTAGCTGCTTGGACAGGGGCGGCAGAAATTTCGGTGCTTCGCGTGTACTCTGCCTGGTGCGGACTTGAAGCACGGGAGCGTCAGCGAGAAGCAGCCTTCGGATTTCCGAGTATCTTATTGAGGGTGTGTGTTGTTGTTTGCAACGAGCAGACAGTGGGAAATAGTAGAGTGGATTTCCCGGTACCCATACGTTATGTCGCGCTGCTGCTGCTAAAGTTGAACGGAAGGAGGGGGGCCCCTTGGGGCCCCCCTCCGAGAGGCGGGGTTCTTGCCGCCATTCGAACTTGTGGCTACACCTTCGAGGCCCCTTCCCCCCGTTGCGGAGCTAGAGATTTCAGCTCCTGTTCTCCCAGGCAACAATAAAGTCACACACACAAACACACCAAACAAGACGTGCGAGCGCAGCGCCTTCGCGGAAGTGAGAGAGTGCTTGCCCAGCGGCCTGCCTCGCATTCCCTGAACTCCTAGGCCCTTCACACTAGGCATTCAAAAGGAATAATTCTTGATGGTGGACGGAGGAAATCCTAGAAGTAGCAACAACACCGGTGACACCAGCCTCATGGGAGGCAACAGCAACAGCAACAGTAGCGTGCTCTTCCATGGCCTTTCAAGAAACGAGCACCTGTCTTTGCCAAGCAGCAGCCAGACTGCATGAGATTCGAGGCAGCGTAACACTGCGAGTGACCATCATCTGCATCAGCCCTCGCCAGGCTCCATGTGGGACGTCGCATAGGAAGAAAAACTAGCAACAGCAACAACAGCAACCGCAAAAACTAGCAACAGCAAAAACAGCAACAGCGAAAACAGCAGTAGCAGTAGCGGCGGAGTGTATAGTGGCCATGACAGACACAGCAGCAGCAGCTGAAGAAGAAGAAAGGGCAGCAGCAGCTGAAGAAGAAGAAAGGGCAGCAGCAGCAGCATCATCATGTGGACAAGATTCAGGAGCACGTGATTCTTATACTGCCATACAGTATGATCTGCAAAGTTTTTCGGGCCCTTATTCTGCACTCCCTGCGACGGCAGCAGCAGGATCAGACGCACCAGCAGAATGCGATGCAACAACAGCAGTAGCGCCGACACCCCGAGGCAGCCGCATTCGTTTGCTGCCTGATGATGTTGTACGTCGGATCGCAGCAGGAGAAGTCGTTTCTCGGCCGGCTGCTGCTCTCAAGGAGCTTCTGGAGAACAGCCTGGATGCGGGGGCCCTCCGGGTGTCTGTACACTGCGTTGGAGGTGGCCTCCGGTTGTTGCAGGTAGCCGATGACGGATCTGGCATTGCTGCAGCGGATCTCCCGCTGCTGTGCGCTCGCCACTGCACCAGCAAATTGCAGACACTGCAGCAACTGCAGCATATTAGCTCCTTTGGATTTAGAGGAGAGGCCCTTGCCGCCCTTTCGCTGGTTTCCAAGCTGGCAGTAACCACCAGAGTCCGGGGGGAGCGTCATGGCTTCAGCTGTACATACACCGCAGGCGTGCTGGCAGGGAACCCAGAGCCACTTGCACGAACGGGAGGCACCACGCTGAAGGCAACAGATCTTTTTTATTGCGTCCCTGCCAGACGTCGTATATTCCTCTCCAGCTCACCCGCAAGTGGCTGCGGATCCGCAGGCACTGACGAATACTTGAGGTGTCTGCACGTCGTAGGACGCTATGCAATCAACAACCCCCACGTGTCCTTCACGCTGCGGCGTCAGCAGCAGCAGCTGCCCGACATCAGCACGCATGCGTTTGGACTCGCCGATGCGAAAAAGCTGCTCATTCAGCTGCAACAGCATGAGCAGCAGCAAGAGCAGCGACAGCAACAGCACGAGGAGCAGCAGCAACAGCAGAGGGGGAGCACTTGCAGCTGCTGTGGCGGGGAAGAGGAAGAACGTGTTCCTACAGAGGAGGAACTGAGGCTGCTGCGGGGGGTGACTTTACTGCAGGGAGGCGCTCTGCGCGTTATAGAAACGCTGCATGGAACGGCCGTGAGCAGCACGCTGCTGCCTATACACCTCAGACGGCCTCTCCCTGCTGCAGCAATGCACTTCATACAGAGCCAGAAACAGCCGCAGCAGGCGGAGGAGGCGCCGCAGGAAGAGGAGGAGACACAGTCGCGACTGAAAGAGCTTCATGGCAGCAGTGGCAGGGACCGGAGGCATGTCTGCCCGCTGCTGCGCAAGTTGGTAGCGAAATTGACTGCTGCGGATGCTGCTGCTGCCGCGATCTTCTTGGAAGAGCTCCCAGAAGATGAGTGGCGTCTGGCTGGGTTTCTTTCAGCGGCGCACAGTGGAGCCAAGAAGGGATCTTTTTGTTGCTTCATCAACGGCAGACTTGTAGACTGTCCGGTTCTTAAGTGAGATACTTTCTGGTGGCATTGCTGATGTCTTGGGTAGCGGTGGGCTTCTGCTTGTGCTGCTGCTTATCGCGTGCGGAGGAGAAGGGAGGGGGGAAGAAGGGCATTTGTATTCCGGCTCTTTGCGATGGTTGCCATGGTCGAATCCTCGGGATGCGTTCTCTCTTGACTCGCTTGCGGTGTACGAGGCAATCACCTGGCGCGAAAGGGGGAAGCAAGGCTGCTTTCTCCCGTTGTTCGCGATGCTGCAGGCGCAGCGTTGATGCGGTGTATGGACAGCTGATGCCGCGGGGCCAGCGCCCGTGGGTGTACTTGTGCTTGGAGTTGCCCGCTGTCTTAGTTGATGTGAACGTACACCCCAGCAAGAGCCAGGTTCGGTTCCTTCATGAGGAGTTCATAGCCGAGGTGACTGCATCTGCTCTGATGGTGAGACGCTGCTACTCCTGCAGGCATTCCACGCCGTGTGCTTTAGTGATACAGCTGCACGCGAGACAGCTGTCGGCTGTGCTGCAAACGAGGGGCAGTTCTAATGGCGCTTCTTGCTGCTTTCTCTCAAGCTGGGAGCTTGCCCGCCCGCCGGGTGTACGTACACCAAAGCGCTGCAGCCTCTGCTGTTGCTGCTTCAGGATATGCTCAAGGGCAAGGCCTCCTCCAAGTCGCTCCCGATGCACCAGCCTGCCGCCTCTGTGCAACAGGCTGAACTGAAACAGCAGAAGCTCGTGGTGATATCCACCGAGACAGGCGACGTGCCCAGACGACTCGCGAGAGAGCAGCAGGGGGAAGACGATTTGAACGAGCGCGGCAACAGCAGCAGCACTCCCAGCACCTCCACCAGCAGCAACAGCAGCAACAGCAGCAGCAGCGCCAGTAGAAAGCAGCCCTTGAATCCCACCAGGACGAGAACTGATGCACGACAGTTACCTCTTAGCGCCTTTTGGCAGCAGGCAACGTCCACACGTAAAGAGCACCGAGTCGAGCAGCAGCAGCACCAAGACGAGCAGCAGCAGCACCAAGTCGAGCAGCAGCAGCACCAAGACGAGCAGCAGCAGCACCAAGACGAGCAGCAAAAAGAGGGAAGAGAAGGCCAGGAGCCTCTTTCTAACGAGGTCGATGGAAGCCTCGCGATGCATTCTGCTGAAGCTGCAGCATTATTATCCCCAGAGGCGCCTTTAAGTGCAGCGCAGCCAGCTGTCTCGCAGCAGCTGTGGCATACGTGGGGTGTGAGGCTTTTCGATGAGAGGAGGGAGAAGGGGGGTCATGTTCTGGATAGCGTTGCGCCTTGCAGCGGCGGCAGCCACAGGGGATCTGACGCTGGACGCCTCCGTAGTGTGAGGCAGCTGCTGCAGCTCTGTGCAGCAGCTGCAGTACAGGGCAAGGGGTCTGCTGCTGCATGCAGCAGCAGCAGCAATTCTCACAAGGATTCAGCGCTGCAGGAGTCTTCGTACGTTGGTGCCGTCAACACGAGGATGGCGTTGCTGCACTCGGGAGAGAGTCTGCTCCTTGTGAACCTTCCCACAATAGCCAAAGGTCAAATACAGGAACCTGCACAGCACCCTAGGAGCTGCTTCTTTGCACACGTAGCAACAGCAGCCTTATCGTGGGACTGAGCCTGTGTGTCTGTGTCTGTGTGTGTCTGCGCTTAGTGGACTGGGTGGGCAAAAAACACCTTCCGGCTGATGTCTAATGTTTGCTGTTTTTTCAGAGTGCGTATACCAATCGATATTGCGGAGGCTTGGGCGCCTTCCAGTGGTGCGACTGCAGCGGCCTGTTGATCTCCAAAAGGCACTTTTTGCTGCGTTACAACAGAAGCAGCAAGAGCAGCAGCAACTACAACAGGAGCAACAGCAAGAGCAACAGCAGCAAGAGCAACAGCAAGAGCAGCAGCAACTACAACAGGAGGAGCAACAGGGAGAGCAGCAGCGCAAGCAGCATGAGGACGAGGAGTATCGAGATGAGGCGACGGTCCGACGCCTCTGCGCCACTTTGCTGCAGCGACGTGCCTTGTTAGCGGATTATTTTGGAATAATTATTGGGAAGGATTGTTGTCTCTTGGGTGTTCCTCTTTGCTGTGGGAAGCACGTTCCGCACCCGAGACTCCTCCGCTGTATGCTTTTGCGGCTAGCTACCGAGGTGTGCTCCTGCAGATGCGTTCGCTGTTTTGTCGTCTGCTTCTTCTGGCTCCTCCGCCTGCTCCTCCTGGTGTTAATGATACGGAGATCGTAGGGTGCATTCTTGTTTCCGTTGCTGCTGCTGCTCTGGAGTGGTGCGTGGATGGTAGACGGACTGCGGGGAGGGAGGCTCTTCCCGTCCAGTGCGCCTGAAGTCGTGGGGTCGTTCTTTCTCTCACTGCACGCTGTTGCCGTTGCTGCTTGGGCGTCTGAAGGTGGACTGGAAAGAGGAGTCTGCATGCCTTCACGGCATTTGCGACTTGCTCGCCGAGGCTTACACCACCGTTGAGGAGGCAGCGGATGCCGTTGCGGACGAAGCTGGTCGATCAGCTACTTGTGTGGCTTCGGCGCGAAAGCATCCGCGGCTCACGATGCAACAGGAGGCAGAGCATGAGCGAGAGGAAAACAAGGAGCAGCGAATCACCCCCCCCCCCACGCGGGGAGCTGCGCCTTGCTGGTAGGAGCTTCGAGAGGACATGCGTTTCTGGGTGTTGCTGTTCTTCCCTTCCCGGGAGGGTGCTTCATTGCATGCATGCATGCATGCCTACCTACTGCGTAAAAGCTTTTCTGTGTTGCTGCTGCATCTGTGGCCAGGTGTCGCGCAGTAGATATCGATCAGCACATGGCAGCAAGCGCTGAGACTCGCAGGATGTTTAGCAACGTTCTGATGCCAGCTCTCCGCTTCTCCTGGAAGACACACATCCCGAAACGGTAATTGCTGCTGTAGCTGCAGGAAATTCAGATTTGCTCTTCAGATTTGCTGCTTGTGCGGCTGCTATGCAGCACCCTGGCTGCGAGAACTAAGTCCCTCGTCAACTAATGCTGCTGCTTAGAGCTTGCGTTCGTGCGGTGTATGTACGGAGCGCAGTTTTTATGAGGACGGAACTGTCAAGGAACTAACTAGTCTCAAAGCCCTTTACAGAGTTTTCGAGAGGTGCTAAAGAAATGCTCACTGGTGCAGCAGCAGCTTTTGCTGCTGCTGCACCAGCTGCTGCTGTCGCTGCAAGCATCGCTCCCTCTGTAGGGTCTGCGTTCACCAGCCCATACACCTGCCGGCGTAATTTGAAAAACTCCCCTTTCGAAGCTTTTTGACTACCGCCCTCTCTAAGGCTGGGCCGACTGTGAAGTTTCTAGGGGATGGATGTAACTGTAGCAGCACTTGCAGCATCGGCTGCTCCTACTCGCTGGGCAAAACAAGCAGCTCCTGCCTCCGCAGGAAGCCTTCTTCTAGGCACGAAAAACGAGGCAAAGCCTCCATCTCACGACGATGACGCCGCACTGGCAGCGGTGTGGAGCTCAGCTAAAGTGTCGCTCGCAGCATCTTCCTACTGCCAAAAAATCAAAGTGAACTCCTAACTAGGTGCAGCTGCAAAGGCCGGTCGGCGTACAGACAGCCGACAGCCACAAAAATACCTTGAGGGCGAGTGCAGGCGAGTCGAACCTGCCCCTTCCCCCCACGAGAAACCTTTTAATGTAGCTTCTGCCGCTCTAGCATTACAAGCCAGAACTACCTGCTCAACTTAGGACGGGGGAAAGCAGGAGCCACAGCTCACTTCTGCAGCAGCACCCAAAGCTACCCACGCGTTCTGCATCAAAAGCAGGTGTACGTACAAGGAACGCTTATTTTACTTCGTTCCGAATAGCAGATCGCGTTTTTTATTGTCAGAGAAACTGTCTCCGGCATGTTGTCGTCTCCTCTTGAGGAGCAACAAGAGCTTATGACTGATCACCCGACCTGTTGCCTGCAACAGCAGCAATAGCAAAGCAGTAGCAGCCATTGCAGCTCGTTCTGATTTCGCACTCGTTTCCACGGGTTGCTAAGCCGCTGATTGACAGTGGCAGCAACACCAACCCCCCCTTCACCAAGGAGTTCATGTGCATGCAGCAGCATGGCACGACGGGAAGGCTGTCCTATGAAACACACCTGCTTGCCTAGGAACCAAATGTATTTGTCGATGAGGGCTTTAAAAGGCTTGAGCTTGTGTTGCATTTCAAAAGCCTTCAGCTCTAACAGCACGTTATCAAGCCGAATAGCTCCTTCGAAGAGCAAGCAACGCAACACACCAGAAGACACATGCAACAACAGCCTGATAACCTGTAAAGGCCTAGCTAAAGCACCATACATACACCTACTAAGGCACTGACAGACACATACACATACACACACATACACATATATATATATATATATATACACTGACAGACACATACACACACACACACACACACACACACACACACAAACACACACACACACACACATACATACACACACAAACACACACACACACAAAAACACAACAAAAAAAAAACAAAAAACAACAAAACACAAACAAAACAAAAAAAAAAAGAGAAAAAACAAACACACATGCATTGAAACAATAAAAATAGATTAGACAACTACCATACACAACACATAACCCTATCTT